TTTAAATATATATTATTTTAATTTTTTTAATAAAAAATTATTAAAAATGATGTAATTTTAATGTATTTTTCTCTTAATTTTTTAAAAATATGATTGATAAACATTTTTTCTTTATAAAGAAGGAACATTATTGGAACTTTTTTCATAAAAAAATTATTTTTTTGTTTATGGATACTAATTAGTGCACACTTTAATTCAATATACTACATAATATATTTATTTAAAAATTATTTTTCATATAAAATTAAAGACAAATAAACTTAAAAGTGTTATTATACACATAAAACGTAAGAATTGATAAATAGTTACACATATATTATATTTTTAATAATTAAATCAAATAAATATAAAAAAATATTAAATGAGTGTGTACCAATTATTTTCTTCCAATTTTATTTTTTTTGAAAAAATTGCAATTATTTATAAGTATTAATTGGGGGATGAGGAAAAGGATTCCGCGGGGTTTGAACACACAACCCACAGGAGATGAAAGTCTTAACCCAAGGTCCATATCACTAAACTGGAATAGGCTGTTATTCTTCCAATTTTATATAAATTGGCCAAAAGTAGTAAAAAAAGATAAGGAATCATGTTCTAACCTTATGACTTTTAATGTGCCTCGGTATTGTTGCTGTCTTCATTAACTATAAACAGATATATATATATATATACCATTTTATTTTCGAACCTTTTTCAATTACCCTTTTATTCATTATCTTTCCAAGTTTCTCAAAACCCAGTGACCCCTCTCTTTCCCAAGAAAGCTAGTGACCAACCTAATCAAGAAAACTTGATTTCCAAATCCTTGGTGATTTCTCCTAAAACGCCATTCTCGGCTTCAAATGGATACTATCCAGTAGGGCTAGGTAGTAAAGAATTTCTTCTCTACCAGGCTATTCAGGTTTAACCTTCTTACTTTCCATAGTGGTGTAGGTAATGAAAAACAATTATCTTTCCTTTTTAAAGATCTTTGAGAAAGAAGTTGAAAACAACCTGAAACAGGAATCTTTTCATCTATATATAAGTATATGAATATAGAATAATGAGACAAATAAAAGTTACAAACTATTTTCTTTGCCAAAGAACTTCTTTAAGCTAAATAACACATTAAAGAAAATAACTGGGAATATATTTTATACATACTTGAAAGAGTACATATTACAAAGGATTTGAGATGAGTACAACTTTTGAACTTTCTCTGGACTCTCTCTTTCTACTACTTGCTAAGACTTTTTTACAAACTTTTTCACGATTTCTTTTTCAACTTTTTTCTAACCTCTTTTTTATTTATAGAAGAAAAACTAACCTAAGTTACAAAAGTAACTACAGTAAAAATAACTCTAGTTACTAAAAAGTAACTATGATTAACTAACCCTAAGTTTATTTGTAGAGATAACCATGGTCAGTCGTTTTTATCTTTTTGGAAAGATAAAAAGTGACTGATTTTCGAGGAACATGTCTCATGACAGTCACTTTGGAGTGAGGCATGGCTGTTCCTTTGTCTGATTCATTTATTATCCCTCCATTTGATTTTCGAGATTTTCCCATTCGACTGAGTCAAGATCATCATAAAAGCTTGTTCCAATCTCTGGGTCATCTGGGTCGTCATTGGGAAGGTCGCCACCCAAATCAATTCTAGCGCCTCAATATTCAGATTGATCTCTACCATTTTTATACTCTTTAGAGTAGATATGCAGTAGCTGAGTGTAGCTTGTCTGAGGTGAGAAGGGAATCTCTTTTTGACTCTTACTATAAATAAACACATCAGGATCAAGATAAATTTTCTGAATATTATCCTCAGTAAAGAGGGTGTATCTAGCTATAAAATCATCTTCCATGACCTGCATGTGCACCATTGTTCTAGCTCTCAAGTATTTGAGTTGTTTTGTGAGGGACTAAGTGGTAGATGGCCAAGCTTGAACGTCTCTATAGAGAGATGGTAAACTGCTTCTTCTCCTTAAAATAATCTTGTGTTGTGATGGAAGCAGATGTCTATCCTTCCATTTAGGAGCCTTGCTCTGAATCAATGCCTTAATGTAGTTGGGAGGCATGCTTTCTAAGACAGCCACGGTAAATTTTCTTCCCACAAGATCAATATCCTCAATTTTTGTAAAAATTAATTGTTAGAGAAAACCATAATCAAGGGGTAACTGTGGAGTTAACTCGATGATTTCCCCTTCATATAAAAATTGAATTGGTTCATATGAGGATAGATCTAAAGAAACCCTACAAATGCTATAGACGAGTTGACACTAATAGTCATATCATTCAAGTGGAATTCCGTCTGCAGTTTCTCCTTCGCACCTATTACACCTTTTGAGTCTTACTTCTATAGTAGAATAATAGGTGTCCCATGTGAAGCCTATGTCAGGTTGGTTGACACCATCTTTAGCTATCTGTTGAAGGAATTGTTGAATTGCCTTTAATTTAGCGTGGCCTGAAGCTTCTGCTTTCTAAAAAATTAGCTGTCTTGAATCATCTGGCAGCTCAGGTAAAGGAACATGTGGATTAAAATACATCTTGGGTTGCCTCTGAGTGTCATCCACTAATGGAATTGATGTAGAAGTTGAGGAGGATCTTGTAATTAAATATTGATTAATTCCCAGTGGAACTAATTGTCTTCCACTCGCTAGTGGGGCTAAGGTGGTCTTCACTATCTCACCTGAAGGTTCCTACAATTCTGGAGAAAGATAAGGGCTAAGGAAAAAGCTGCCTCTAAAATGCTATTGAGCAAATTGGATAGCTTACTCAATTAGATAAAACCCTTTATAAAGTGTTCTTCTAAAATCCTGTATTTTGAACAAGATTTCATCCCACTTCTTATAAACTCCAAGGGTTTTCCCCTTGATTATAACAAAATAATTAAATTTATTATATTTTCTCAAATACTAGGCTAAAGTTCTTAAATTGTTCTAAAAAAGGTTCAAATTGCCAAAGCTCTCTTGAATGTTGTTCAGAAGTTGATCAACAACTGGATCCAAATTGAGCCCTTCTGTACAGGACCTAACTCTAGAGGTTTCGCCTCTATTGCTGGTTTTGCTTGAAGTCAAGCATTTCATTTTGATCTTGCATAAGAGAAGAATGAATATATCTACTTAGCCAATCAGCAAGATAATTATCTTTACTTTTAATATGTTCAAATTTTACTTTAAACCTGTTTCTAGTTATAATATTTACAAAATTCATCCATCTTTTAGAAGAAAGACTTTTTTCATTTTTCTTTTGAAAATATTTTACAATTACCTCACAATCTGTTCTAATTGTAAAAGTATCATTTTGGATAAAAAGTCTAAAGGAATTTAAAGCATTTATAACTCCTAATATTTTGAAATCAGAGATGTTACAAAATTTTTACTTTCTCTATACAATCCACTAGAATATCTACAAATTTTTTCTTCTTTTTGAGATGAAAACTCAGTAGGTTTTACTAACAAAATTGCTTTCCATCCTTTACTACTACAATCAATCTTGACTATTTTGTAGTCAGATTCCAATGGTAGAGTTAGAGAGGGTAAATTTTTAACTTTCTCTTTTATTCTTTTTATAAATCTAACATCTTCACTATTGAAAAACTTTTGTCCTTTGGGACTAAGTTTTGCATATAATGGTCCAATAAGTTTAGATAGATCTTTTATTTACATTTGGGCATAATTGAGTATACCTAAGAATTTTTGAAGTTCTTTAGTTTCCTCGATTTTGTCGGGGAAGTCAAGAATCTTTTTAACTATATGATCTTGTAACTGAATTTTTCCCTATCCAATCCTCATTCCTAAAAATTCAATGTACTCTTTGGAGAGTTTCATTTTCATTTTAGAAATTATAAGGCCATTTTTCAGGAATTTAGTAAAAACAATCTGAAGGTGTTTGATATGCTCGGTCTTAGTTTTGCTGAAGATGAGGATATCATCTATGTATACCAAGACAAAATTAGAATATTTTTTGAATATCTGATCCATCTTTCTTTGGAATATTGAAGGTGCATTTTTTAATCCAAACGGCATGACTTGCCATTCAAAATGTCCTTTGGGACAAGTGAAGCCTGTCCATTGGGACAAGTGAAGCCTGTCCATGGAATGGATTCTTTTTCCATTTTAATTTGCCAGAAACCAGACTTACAATCAAATTTGCTGAAAATTTTTGAATTTTGAATGCAGTTGATTAGTTGATCTTTATTTGGTGTTCTGTATACATCTTCATAAGTGTTATCATTTAGCCTTTTATAATTTATGACCATCCTAGCTTTTCCTCGTTTAATTGCTGCGTGATTTGTTACCATGAAGGCTATAGAGGAATGCCTAGAATTGGAATGCTTTATGACTCCTAAGGCTAAAAGTTCTTTTATTTGAACCTCATATTCTTGTCTGTCAAGTGGACTGTGATCCATATTGCCACCAATAATTCTAAGTTCAGGATTTATTATATCTAATTTTGCTGTACATTTATTTTGATCCCAATATTTGATTGGGTCTTCTCCTAAGACTTGAGTTTCATTAGCTATTTTGATTAACTCATCTAGGTCCATTTTTTTGTAATTTTTATTTTTTCTTTTGTTTTCTTCTTTTTGCAAACTTGAAAGAGTTTTTTCTATATTTACATATATTTCTTCTTCATCATTAACTAAATCATTAAAAAAACTGACAATCTATAGAATCATCAAATATTTCCAAAGTCTCTTATGAGAAATCTGGTATATAATCAGATTCTAATAAATCATCAAAAAACTTTTCATCACTACTTAAATAATTACTATTATATTCAAAATGCTTATTTAATTTATCTTGGATTTTTTGGGGTACTATTTCTTCTGATTTTGGAAGGTTCATGACATATCTATTTGTTGTGGTGTAACTTGTTCGTTTTGCAAATTGTACTTCATCAGAAGAAATTGTCATTTGGCCTTAAAAGTGAGTGATAAAGTTTAAGCCAATTATGAAAGGATAATTATTTTGAATATTATGTACAATTACTTGAGGTAATGTGTACTTTTCTCCAAAAGTTCTTGATCCCCAATCCCAGAAAGAAAATTTTTGCATCCTTTAAGCATTTATCAAATTTGAGTTGAGTTCCATCCATTTGAGTTCCATAAACAGTTTTCATTGGTGAAACTTGAGAACTTGGAATTTCAACCTCAAGCATGTGAGATTTGGATGCTCCTGTATCAATCATTCCTTAAAATTTCTTTTGTTTCTCCATTTTTAAAGGTGATTGAACACAGTATGTTGATCAAAGAATTTGGATCTTTGGGATTTGTTAGAATAGTAGCCAATAAAGTAGAGATTTGTTCTTCCTTAGTTGTTGTCTATTCATTAACATCTTTTCCTTTGAGAGGAATTTTTGCTAATTGTTTCTCCAGTTCTTTTATTTTTTGGTGGAGAAATTCAATTTGTTCTTCTAATTGCAAGATTTACTTATCTTTTTCATTGAGAGTTTCATTCATTGATTTCATTTCTTGCAATAGAGACAATTTTTCTACATTTATGATTAATTGTTCTTCATTTGATGTAAGGATGTTCATTTGATTTACAAGTTTTGAAGGCTGTACCTGTTTAACCTCTTTTTTTAATTTTGTGACAAAATATACAATATACCTTTGAGCATATTGTACATTTCATTTTTGTAGAAGGCTGGGTGTACCTATGACAATCTAAACATTTTTCCCATTGTGGTGGTTGATTTAATTGCCATAGGTGTTTGCAGTCAGAATCAATTTTGATCATAATGATTTTTACACTGTTTAGTTTTTGATTAAGAGAATTTATAAATTGCTGAAGATTTTGATCTTCAGAATCTATATCCTCTTTAGATTCTTAATAAGATTTAGACAGATCTTGTATAAACAAATCTTCTGAAATGATGTTGTAGACATCACTTTCAAATTTGTATCCGCTTATAGAGACGATGTCTTCTTCTTCCTCAAGATTTACCCATATGTGAGATCTTTCTGTTGGTTTGTTTTTGTTTGGGCATTTTGTAATATCCCAAATTTTCGGGAATATTTAAGTGTAAGTTAGGGACTTGATTGTGAGAAAAGATTGTTTTGGGGCCTAATGTGAATATTTCAAAAGTTGAGGGACTTAAAAGTGGAAGAGTTTTGGATAAGGATCAACTTCTTTTCTTTTTCTTTTTCTTCTTCTAGCCTGTGTGTTCTGCTCTTCTTCTTGTCTTCTCACTGCAGCCACCCGAAGAGAAAAAAAAGGGAAACCCAGCCATGCCTTGAGGAAACCGGTAGAAAGCTTGGTTTTCTCCTTCTTTTCTTGCTCTAGAACACACCTAGAACCCAGAAATCTTCCCCCCTACTGGAAAAGCCGGATCTGCCCTGCTCTGCTTTGTCCTTCCGCTGGTTGCTCTTGATTGTGGGTGATTTCTGGGCATTTTTTTCGGTAAGAACAGCCCCTAATTCCTTTGTTCTTGCTTGAATTGGCTTGGGTTAACTTTAATTGCTCTTGTTCCTCCAATTTTGGGTAGTTTCGTGAGCTTCCCCCTGCAGATCCCGCCGGCCTTCCCCTGCAGATCCCGCCGGCCTTCCCCAATCTGCTAGCTCTGATTCCTTGCTTGTAAATTCTAGTATGTGGCAGCCTTAAACCATTGTTTTTAAGCTTGATTAAGGTAGAATTAGCTTGATTAGTTTGCTGCTGTGTGATGTCCGAATTTTGGTAGAAAAATGGGGAAGAATTTGATAGCTTTAAGACCATGATTTAGCTTGATTCAAGTGAATTTATGTGATTGAGTGTTAATTGCTTGCTGTGATTTTTGGAGTGAAATCCCGTGAGATTAGCTAGTGTTTTGGCCAATTTTGGAAGTAGAGTTACTGTTCATGTCGGGGTTACTGTTCACGTCGTGGTACTGTTCATGGACACTGTTCACACCCCGAGGGCCAACAATTAATGGGGATTTAAGTGATTAGTTTGTGATATAAGAACGAATTTGGAGATATCTGATCATGTGGAGATTTATGGAAATAGCATTGTGATTAGGAATGATCCTAATGATGATTTCAGCTTGAATTTGTGATAGTCCGGTATTAATTCTGAGGTATTTTGATTAGGTTTCTGATTGTTCTGTCAGTTAGCATTGAGATTGAGTGCTCGGTTTTATGCAAGTGAGGTAAGTAAATTTATGGTAATGCCCGTACCGTTTTAAAAGCATGTTTTGATTTGTTTTTGAAGTGGTGGCGGGACTAAACCCGTTTTACATAAGTGTGACTGATTTGAAGTGAAATGTTTTGTGCTTTTCATGAAATTGAGCATGCCTACTTGAAATTTAAGTGACTATCCTGATGATCTGAAAGTGATTGTGAATTGTGATTTTCCTGTTAACTTCTGCCTGTTTTGTCTTCGATGTGGTCATGTTATTTGTGACCCCGCTAGTGGGGGAGGTTATAAACGCTAGCACATGTCGACATGTTAGTGAAAGAGCCGGTTCGTTCAACCCAGCTAGTGGGGGTTATACACCAGCAAATCGCGGCCCTACTAGTGGGGATTATACACTGGCTGTGACCTATAGAGGAGACGTCTATTTCGTTCCTGTACTGTATCCGATTTGCGTGATTGCACATGTTGGCATGCTATAAGTTTAATAATGGGCAATCCATATTTACTTACTGAGTTTATCTCATAGTTTTCCTTGTCCACCATTTAAGGAAGTGAAACCGAGGACAGGGAAACCACGGGAAGTGACGAGTTAGAAGGCTAGCCATATTGTAATTGGATATAGATTTTCAAAATAAATCATGATCTTGTAAGCTAGAGTGTATTTGGAGATTTATGATCAGAGAGAATTTTAAAGATTTGATCTTTAGATTTTGATGGTATCAGAGTGTGATATGATAAGTTCCGAACCTTGTGCATTTGTGGGACCCATCTCACGAGTGCATGGCGTCTGTCGCGTCTCGAAATTGGGTTTTGGGGCGTGACACATTTATTTGTGTAGTGTCTTGGATCTCCACATATATAGCATTTTTTTTTGTCTTTCTTTGGATTTTTGGGTTTTTTTTCACATATTTCTCTTTTTTACTAGTTTTTCCTTTTTTGAAGGTTTTACTAGGCCTAAGAGAATATGTTTTCTTTTTATGAATTTTTTGGGTTTGCATGAAAAACATTCTTTTTTGGATTTTTTATATCTTTTCCTCCTATTATATGATTCTTTCGAAGAACCATGTCCCCTAATTATAGATTTACAAAAACCAAATTTTTGCTTTTCAAGGGATTTTTGGATTTGGATATCTATACATCTTTCTCTTAATATTTTATATATGAACAAAATCTTAGGGCCTACTCCCTGTTGAGGTGCAGGTTTAGAAGCCAGCCATTTTTCTTTGATTTGTTTACTAAGGGTGCTTGGAAGTTTATCAAAGATTCTGTTATTTAGGTTGTCATCAAATCCTTATCTTGTTTTAGCAATGAGTTTAAGAAAATCATTGCAAAAAGACTCGATTTGATACCAAGATGTTAACTAAAGGACCTCAAGTTCCTTAATAGCTTTATTTTGTAAAGCTCTTTCGGAATCAAAAGTTACATTAGATCCTAAGAACATCTTTTTGATTAAAGAGGTAAAATTGTATGGGTTTTCCCTCAAGTCTTGTGTTTCAGCAACTAAGGTTGGGTTCTCTCTTTTAAAGGTATTCCAGTACAATTCTATAATTAGGTCTAGAAGTGTTTATAGGAATTCGAACATCTCACCATCCATAGATCAATTGATCCATGCTTGGCAAGCGACTCTTTTCCATTGATCTATTATTTTTGCCCAAACTTGTGGATTCCAACTTGGTAATTCTAGAATAGTCCTTTGTTGTTTTGCTGTAGGTAACTAGTTTGGGTTAATTTTCATTTTTTTACCAAATTGCATCCTCTCTCTATTCTCGCCCCTATACTCAAGTGTTACTTGAGGTATGGGATATCTTCCTCCTAACTGATACGTTCTAGAACCGAAGACTCTAGAAGTTCTTGGAATTTTAGAGTTTTCTCCAATTTCATATCTAGTTGGAGCACTAGGGTTCTAGTTAGGATTTGGATTTGGATTTCTAGGGTTACATTCATGAATATTTTTTCCTGTTGGGATTCCTATTCAAGAATGATTTGAAGTATGGGTTTTTTATTTTTGAAGTAAGCCTCAACTAGAAGTTCTAGATCTAGAATTTGATCTTCTATATCTAGAATTTGATCTTCTATATCTTCTCCATGGTATTTCAGTGTTAAGACTTCTTTAGCATTAACTTCTTTTCCTTTGAGGAAAAATAAGTTTCAATAAATTCCCATTCTTCGTTATATTTGTCTTTGATTGGTCTCCATTTTGCAAAATGTTCTTCCCTTTTTCTTAAGGTTTGAAGCCAAGAAGGTTCATTTTCTTCTTTTTCTATTTCCTCAGTGAAATGTAACATCTTGATTTCAATTGTTTCTTCATTTTCTTCTTGTTCTGGAAGAATATTTTCATAATCATTAAAGCTTAAACTCGTTTCTCCCTTATAATTTTGATATAAGGTATTTTGAATGGGTACCATTAAGGGTTTATTTAGGAATTTAGTTATGTTCCATTTAGTTCCATTCAGATATGTTGAATCTAAATGTTTAGCTTGAATGGCTTTAATTCCCTTTGCCCCAAAATATTTCACAAATTTCTTCACTAGTTACTCTATAATTGGCTGTGCCATTATGAGTTATTTGGCCAATAAATCCTATGCAAACTAAAAGATTTTTCTCTCCCTCAGCCATGGAATAGCCTTTAGTCATGATTCCTACTTTTAAAAATTGTTTAAAGGCTTTTATGTTCATTTGGAAATTGGGAGTAAAATATGCAAATCCACCTTGTTCTGATAGGTCTATTTCGATAGATCCTATGAGGGCTTCTATGAGGGCTTGAATCATATCCTGATGTCTTGTGTCTAAAAGAGTCAAAAGGCATTTTGTACCTAAACCCTTTTTGTGAAGTGTTTTGACTCCTATAGTGATTAATCCTATATGGACCAATGAATATTTCATTCTTTCGAGATTAAAACATCCATTTTCACTTAGCAGTTTTAGGGTAACACTATCACTATCTTTGACACATGATATTTGGACTTCCTGATAATGCTGAAAGATTGATCCAACATTAAACAAGGAATTGGCCATTTCATAAAGATACTTGGGTTTGACCAAGTCAAATTTATCAGTTTTAAATCTTTTTATTTGTTCTTCAAGATCTATTAAAGTTTTAACTTTTATAGATTCTTGAATTTGTTTTCCTTTAGAGAACATCCTAATTAGAGGGTTGCTTGTGATTTTAGATGATTCCATGATTTTTGGATTTTAAAGTAACACAATGTAATTTTTTGAGACTCTAAGTTCTTTAGCTTTTATTTGGGATAAAGATGAAAGAGTGGATTTTATTTGCTTAAGATCTTCTTTAATGTTAATGGTTCTTTCTAGATCTATTTTTTCACTGGCTTCTTGAAGAAGATCTTATCTCTTAGCCTCTTGACATATTTCTGCCGTTCTTAAGTGAGTGTCTTTTAAGAGATCTTTAATGTCCTTTATTTCACTTAAGATTTCTTCTTGGTTTTCTAAGATTCGTAGTAGCAAAATAATTTGGGTATTTTGCTGTCCTACTAATACCTGATCTTGGACTACTAAAGGTTGAAAATTGGTTAATCTGTAGGGATTTCCTAATTTTCCTGCTTCTTTTAAAGCTTATCTATAGTTTGAATTTTGAGTAAAAGGGGTTTCACCCATTCAAACCAAGAATTAATCTTTCAAGTTTTTGATCTTGTTTTAACAACCCTTCTTGATATTGGATTAAGGTAGCTGTTTGATGACAAAGGTTTTGAACAAAATGATCTAACACTTTGTTACTTAGAAATTGAGAATTAACTAAATTGACTTTGTTTTTGACAAATTCAATTTGTTGTTGTAGACAGTATTGATTTTCAATTATTCTCACAATATTTTTGTTGTAATGCTTTTCAAAGTTTTGGAACCTTTCAAGCACTACTTTTCCCTTTTCTTTTTGTTTTTTATAATTTTTTGAAAAATTTATAATTAAGTCTACAATACTATTTAGTTGACTATTATCCAAATTTAAATTATGACTAAAACTTAGAAAACTACACACTATATTATGATTATCTAAAATTGCTTTTGATTTTTTATAAAGATGTGAAATAGCTAAATCTAAATAATCTAAACTCATATGTATTTTTAAAATTTTAAGGAAGTCAAATACAGTAACAAATAATAATATCAACAATAAAGTTAATGCAGTAACAGATAATAATATCAACAGTAATATTGAACAATACTGGACAGAGTTATAAAAACAGAGATAAGTAAGTATTGAGAAAGGTAACCAGATATTAATACTGACGAGTAGATAGAAAGAGATAAATAAACCAACTAAAGGCAGAAACAGATAACAAAAGGAAGCCAAATATTAACAAAAGGACGAAATAGTTAGCAAATGTTGACCAAATGGTAACTAATTTTGACCAAATTAGTCAACAATTTCTTACAAAGAAGACTAACGTAAATGGAAAAGATGGCAATTTACAAAGTCTTGACCTTTAATATTAGTAAGTAAATATAGTCTGACACTAAATAGAAAATAAGAAAGATAAAATTTCTACTGCAATCTTAAAAAAAGCAGATATGAAGGAAAACTATACATCTGACACAAATGAATGAAAAGTTGATTTTTAACACAAAGCAACTAGACGAATGGTCGTTCCAGACTAGTGGTATTGGACTCTGGGTTAGGATTGTTCATCTTTTGTGAGTGGCGTGTTCGAGCTCAACAGAGCTCATTTTTCCACTCCCCAATATATTCCTGTAAGTAATGCCAAAATTGTTAAAAAAAAACACAAAGCAATTAGACTTTTAGTATTGTTATGTAAAAGCTTTCGGTAGAAAATTGACAAAGTTAACCAAAACTAGACAAACTAATTCTTTGGCAAAGATTTTCATTTGTTGACTAAAATTTGTCCACTTTTTATTCCACATACAAATATATAGATGAAAGAGCTCTGATACCATATCTAGCCTTGCACCTCAACAGGGAGCAGGCCCTAGGATTTTGTTCATATATAAAATATTAAGAGAAAAATGTACAGATATTTAAATCCAAAAATTCCTTAAAAAGCAAAAATTTGGTTTTTGTAAATTTGTAATTAGAGGACATGGTTCTTCTAAAGAATCATATAATAGGAGGAAAAAATATAGAAAATCCAAAAAAGAATGTTTTTCATGCAAACCCAAAAAATTCATAAAAAAGAAAACATATTCTCTTAAGCCTAGTAAAACCTTCAAAAAAGGAAAAACAGGTAAAAAAGAGAAAAATATGAAAAACCAAAAATCCAAAGAAAGACAAAAAATGCTATATATGTGGGGATGCAGGACACTATGCAAATAAATGCCCAAACAAAAACAAACCAATAGAAAGATCTCACATATGGGCAAATCTTGAGGAAGAAGAAGACATCGTCTCTATAAGCGGATACGAATCTGAAAGTGATGTCTACAACATCATTTAGAAGATTTGTTTATAGAAGATTTGTCTGAATCTTATTCAAAATTTGAAGAGGATATAGATTTTGAAGATCAAAATCTTCAGCAATTTATAAATTCGCTTGATAAAAAACTAAACAACGTAAAAATCATGATAATCAAAGTTGATTCTGACTGCAAACACTTATGACAATTAAATTAACCACCACAATGGGAAAAATGTTTAGATTGTCATAGGTACACCTAGCCTTCTAAAAAAATGAAATGTACAATATGCTCAAAGGTATATTGTATATTTTGTCACAAAAAAT